CGGATGTGTCTAACGAGTTGCTTGAAGCTGTACATAGAGTTATTACTGTTGACGTATTTCAAGTATCCGGAGAGAATTATAATTTGCCCCATTAGGGACATCCAATAAAAAGAGAGCTAATTAATCAAGACAAACTACACAAATACCTCTGTGTCAGAAACATCTGCAGAGATCTCTTTTTCTGCTTCCACATGGTTGTGATATCGCCGAACGATCTCTACTAGACTGAAACATACAATATTGTGAGATATGATTATTGATGGGGTAAGTACACAAAGTTGTAGCATACGCTTATTGATGGTTACGTACAAGGGCGATAATTTTAGGGATCAGATTTATTTTTTAATTTCTTTTTTTCTTTGGGGTGGGGNCTTCAGAAGATTCTGAACAAAATTTATGGTTTTCAATCTCAGTGAACATGCACTATAATGCTTGCTTACTAGTCAATCATACACACAAGACGTGAAATAAATTAGTCAGGCAACCACAAAATCTGTAAAACTGCAACAATAGTTAGTCAGTACTCTCGAATTCAGTAACTAGGAGTGCATTTAGCAGTTTTATTGGAAACAAAAGCAGACAAGGTAAGCAAATGGGAAATTACTTGGGATGCCATGATTCCCAAAATCAGGTTTTTGGTCTCTGAATATGTGAACTTTGTCAAATCGGTGCTACGATTTGTTGGTTGTACAGGCATTTGATCTTATTGAAGAGTCCAGCTAGAGCCTAAATAGAACTCACATTTTAGTCAAGGAAGGAACTTTCAGCTCTTCTATTGCTTCATTTTTTTTTTCCTCTGGAGCAAGTTCCATTATATTAACTAAGCCTCTCTTAAAGCCAATGCTGTGTTTTGGTATCTGTCTCAACAATCCCATTAATGCCTTTTTTTTTTTTTGAAGATTTCCTGTCTCATCCACTGGAAAGAAGGAAAACTACGAAAAATTGCAACCCTCACTTGACAACAGCAAAAGGGGATGATACGGACCCCAGCTCTAGCTTTTTATTGATATGAGATACATTACCGAGAGAATCTCCTAGAGCATATCAGTCTATATGAACATTCTGTCTAGTAATTTCAGTCCCTCGCTACTAACTAATGTGCCGGAATGACAAGTAAAATCACAAGCAGCTTGCACAAGTCCAGGCCTAAACTAATTATGTCTCTAATTCTTTCCTATTACTAGTTCTGTTCGGACTGGTTACAAGTACGTGACCTTGCTAAGGATAAAGATGCTGAACAGTGCGAAGATAAAAAGAAAAGGCCATAGGATTACTAGTAGGAATACTCTATATGATGAGATAACTGAACCAGTGAGACACTGGTTTATAAGGAATCTAAAACATACATTGGATTTTGCCGATGGTCTTTACAAGAACTTGCATTAGACCAATCTCTGGGATGACACAACTAAATTGGCTAAGGGAATGGTACCAAGAGGGCTCTAAATGGTTGATTCGGATTGGATCAAATAGTAGAAAGTGAGACCAAATTACCAGTCTGGCCATACAATGATAAGTGTTTCCTCAACTTATAGAATGTGAAAATCAGTGGCGAAGCTACAGTGTGTTAAGGCTGATCACTGGACACCCTTCACCAGAAAGAAAACTATACTGTGTATATGGGTGAAATATTAGTTTATACTGATATATATTAAACCTTGAACACCTTTCACACAACCAAGAAAAGTAGCCCAGCAGTAAAGAGTGTTCAAATAGGCTTCACGGTGGTCATTTTGATTCTCACTTCCGACGTTTTTGCTTCATTGCCCTATTTTAAACGACAAGAAACCTTCTAATCGTATCCATTGCTCTCCGTCAGCCCCATGCCCCGCTCCACACTCGCCTCTCTCGTCTCCAACAATTCTCTTCTCTCTTTCTATTTGATTTTTCTTTCTTTTTTTGGTTGCTTCCAACAAAATTGATTTGTATTAACTTCCGTTTTCATCTACACTCTCAAATGCATGCTTTGACTTTTCCAAGAATACAATATCCATAGAAACTACAAAATATGATTATTAGGAAAGAAGAAAATTCATATTTTTCTTGTTGGTTGGGTTATAATTTTGTGTTGTGTGATTAATCTTGTAACTACAATACTTAAATTTACTTTGAAGTTTCAATAAACTTGGAGAAATATTTTTGTAAAAGTACAAAAACAAGTTCGAAGCCCTAAAATTAACCTAACCGCAAGAAAATGTCGACCATCAGATTTTCCAGCGCATTAAACTGAAAGAACTTCATCTAAAGGCTGATTTAGCTGAAAGAACTTCATCTAAAGGCTGATTCTAGTTTTGATTAATACAATTGTTAGTTCTATTATAAGTGTTTTTATACAACAACAACAACAACTTACCTAGTGAAATTCCACAGGTAAGGTCTGGGGAGGATAGTGTGTACGTAAACTTTAGCCACTGATTCTGATAGATTCTCGGTTCAAGGAAAGCGTAATCTCAGCAGTCATGAAAAATAAATACGACAGTGAAGAAGTGGCGGAAAAAGAAGCAGTAATAACGACAAGAAAAATAAGATAACTGAAGCAAAAAATAGCATGCAGTAATAAAAACTAAGAGTAAGAAAATAGGGGAGTTACTAATACCACTGGTATGAAGAAGAAAAATACCCACTACCTTAATTCTCGACCTCCACATCCTCCTATCAAGGGTCAGGTCCTTAGTAAACTGAAGATGTGTCATGTCCTGCCTAATCACCTCTCCCCAATTTTGGCCTACCTCTGCCTTTCCTTAGATTCATCATTGTCAACCTCTCATACCTCCTCACTGGGGCATCCGTGCATCTCTTCTTCACACTTATGATTTAGCTAAATATTTATGTAGAGATTGAGACTTATAGCCTGTTTGTCCAAGCTTTTAAAATCAGCTTATTTTGATATAAGTGTTTTTCTCAAAAGTACTTTTGGTGATAAAACAATTTGTGTTTGGCCAATTAATTTCAAAAGTACTTCTAAGCAACAATTAGTGTTTGGTCAAACTTTTAAAAAGTACTTCTAAATATATTTTTCTCAAAAGTACTTTTGGGGAGAAACTATTTTTTTTACTTCTCCAAAACTGCTTTTGCTTCTACTCAAAAACACTTCTTTTTCTTCTAAAAGTTTTGCCAAACACTTCAACTTTGAAATTTTTTTAAAAAAAAAATAAGAAGAAGTGCTTTTGGTCTTGGAGAAACTTGGCCAAACAGGCTATTAGGCAAAAAGCTTGACTATTCCCTCAAGCTTGGTTGGGGATTTATTGCTATTACAAAGTGTACATATATGGTAAGTGTATAATACATAATAAAATCCTAATCAAATCATGATGATTCTATGTCAATCACATAATATCTCCTAATCAAATCATCATGGTTTTATGCAAATCACATAATATCTCAACACTCACCCTCAAGCTGGAGCGTATATATCATACTCCAAGCTTGTTACAAATGTATTTAATTCGAGGACGTCTCAATGATTTAGCAAGAACATCTGCTAACTGATCATCCGAGCTAACAAAACTGGTGGTTATACATCGTGACTCAATCTTTTGTCTAATGAAATGACAATCCACTTTTATATGTTTTGTCCTCATGAAAAACAAGATTTAAGGCAATGTGAAGAGCATCTTGATTATCGCATATTAAATTCATCTGGTTGACGTCTACACACATTAATACTTGAAGAAGTTGTTTCAACCATATAAGCTCACAAGTGGCAAGAGTCATAGTACTAGATCTAGTGACAACGTCTTGCTTTTTGCTCTTCCAAGAATTTAAGTTCCTTCCAAGCATGACACATTATTCAAAAGTAGAACGTCTGTCTGATGGAGAACTTGCCCAATATGCATCAGAAT